AATTCTTCTATGAATTTTGGATATCAAATTTTATCAAATTTCATTTTCGCTCAAATTTTCCTCTTATAATTATGGCCTATTTTGTGAATTTTTTTTCTAATGAATTTTCAATTATTTTTTTATTTCTTTTTTTTTTACTTATTTTAACTGAACTTTCTTCTTTTATCAAAGTAAATTTTAATTTCTACAAAAATATTACTGTTGGCATTTATGTCGTAATAAAGGAAGACTATCAATGAAATAAATATAAACGATTGATGAACTTTCTTCAACTCTCTTCTTCCTAACGATACCATTGAATGTAGCATAAAATACAAAAACAAACAAAACAAAACAGGAAAAAAAAAAAAACAGTACGGTCAACAATGTTACAGTACCGTAATATCTGTGCTGTTGCCATTTGAAATTGGATAATTGCGCTGGTGTAAAATAGAAGTATAAAGCATGAAATGGGAACATTAAATGCATTTGTACATTCAAAAATTCAGAAATTTCTTTAATAAAGGGTAAAACATTGACCTTTTGCTTTTTTTTTTTTTGCTCCTTTTCCAAGATGCAAAATAAGAGATAAATATGTAAATCAGCCTGATGCACAACTATTGGTTATTTTTTTTCTTCTTGATTTAAGCTTAAGTTTTGCGTGTTTTTTTTTTTGCTTAAAAAATCCCATTAGATAAATGTCAACTGTGTACCATCCCATAGGACTGATACACAGCTAAAAGATAGGAATAGCCTCGTAGAAACAGCAAGTAGAAGAAAAAAAAAATTCCTCCAATATAATATAGACTGTCAGTTTTAAAGAAAATAATTATGATGGTGACGTATTTCAGTTTTTTTTTTTCCTTTTTTTTGTTTTTCACTTTTCTGTATTGAACAACAAAGATCTTTGTTTCAACTATTGTCATTTAACATTTCACTTCTCTTTATCACTTTTAGTCCTCTTTCTTTATTGCTCCTACATGAGGACTGTCGTAAGTCTGGCCTAGCAAAGGTTGAATTATGAGCCTAGAGAGAGAGAGGTAAAGAGAGGAACAGACAAAAACGATAGATGCATTAAATGTAAAAAAATCCTAGTCTTTTTTTCTCCAAATCATTCATCTCCTTTGCTATCAATTTTTTTTTTCACAATTGCAAACAGCAGATGTCCTCAATCTTGAAATTTTTTCTTATTAACGTTACATATGAAATCTGCTTCTTTTCTTTCGTTTTTCTCTTTATTTATTAGGACGATAAATTTTAGCATATTCCTTTTCTATGATTTATTTTTATTTATTCCTATTCTTCAAATTTAATTGAATTTTTCTTTATTTAAAAAAGTTTACCATGAAAATTTTAGTTTTATTACTCCGGCAATTGATTATTTTTTCACAATTGTAAGACATTATTTTTTTTTTTTGCTGATGGTAAAACAATTTATAACAAATGTAGTTGAAAAAAATTTTTTCTTCCAAACTATATTTATTGATTTAAATTACTGATATCTCAAGAAGAACGAAATTATTACCGATTCACTGTCTTATATGCTTAAAAGTTTCTGCAGTATAAATATATCTATGTATCATCGTTATTCTAAAAGCCTTATCAAAAATAATAATGAATAGTTGTATGAATTATTTAAATTTAAGTGTGAAAAATTTAAAGTTTTTAGAAGAATAATTCTTAAATAGTTATTGGAATTTAATTTGTTCATTTTAACGAAGATACATTCCCGAGTGCAGCAATTGATATATTAAAGATTTTGATTGATAAAATTTTCTTCTTTCCTCTCATTTATTCTTCATACTTCGACTAAACTGAATATTTTAATAAAATACAACCATTCTGAGAATTTTTCATTAATTAAAGAAAAAAATATTTTTAATTAACAAAATGGCAAATTCGTTCAAGTATGCAAATATACACTATGATAAAAATTTTGAGAATTGACAAATTATTTTGAAATTATCATTTTCTATCGATTTATCTTCATCGCTTTTTCCTGTTTTTTTTTTTGGCCTTCATTTGAATCATTTCAAAAGTATGCGTTGCACTTCGCTTGTATTTCTTCCATTTTGTAAATTCCAACGTTCACAACAAATCATTTTGTTTCTAATACTTTTCCCCACTTTTTTTTTAAGCGTGAAAAAAAACGTGCGTGAGATGGTAGCAAACGGTATTCTTAATATTAACAAAGAACCGACAACACGTTGGGATTGTCCTGATGTGGATCAAGAAACGATTAAGATGATTCTCGGTGAACGATTACGTTTTCCGTATGCAAGCAACGTGGTTACACCAAATCGAATAATGAAAAGCGCAATGAGTGAACAGGTAATCAAATTTCAATATTCTTCAATTTACTTTACTGGCCCATTTGTTAATTTAAAGCTTAAGTGGTTTGGTTGATACCATACATTGTATCTTTAAACAGAATTTACATAATTCAATTTTTTTAAAATAGTAATTAGTTAAGTTTGACGGATTATTCCGGCATATTTATCATTTAAATGAAATTTAAATACGAAAAAAAGATCGAAAAAGCTTTCTTCCCATGCATCGTCACCTGTTCAAGAAATAAATGATAAAGGATCTTTGAGAAAGTTTATTGATCAAAAGGTTTCGTTTTATTTTCTACATTTATTTTATTTATAAAAATTGAGGAGTGAGAGGAGGGGAAAATTTTTAATGTACTTTTTTACGTTATCCTCCTTACTTTTTTGCCTTAATTTTACAACATTTGATATCGGTATTTTAATTACAAATAAAATTTAATACTTTGATTTGCAAATTGAACCAACAAAATTGACTCTTTAATGAAACCAACAAACAAAATAACGCAAAAATTGTAGAAGCGTATTATAAATGTCTTTCAAGAAAAAAAGTAAAGTTAAAAAATTTCAGTTTTACTTATATTATTTTTCTGTTCAACTTCAGTATATACTTCGAACATTAAAAAAATACAAATTGGAAGCTTTTATTTCATTTATTTTTATTTTCATTGAAAGGAGTTACATTTTGATTGAGTGACTCGACGCATTCATTGCTATATTTAAAAAAAAAGACTTAAGAAATTAATAAATATTAAATCATAATGCTAAAACAAGAAATAGGTATGCTACTTGTTGCCTGTTGTATAGAATCATTTTTAACACCCTCGTCAAAATTTAAATATCTTTCAATCTACTTTTTACGGTATAAAATAATGAATGAAGTAACTGAAATAGCTATATTGTTAATTGTAATAATTACTTAAAACCGTGCTTTATTTGAAGTAATACATTTGATTGATTTCGAAATAGTTTATTCAAACAAGTGACTGGAAAAAAATTGTAGCGATAATAAA